TTACTTGTTAACAGTGCAAGAAAAAGCATGTCATTTATTACGTCGCTCGTCGCCGACCCCTCTATCGACCTCCGACATAATATGAAAACGTAGTTGTCAAGCGGTACATTCTTGTTTTCTGTTTTTTTTCTTTTTTCTGCCTGAAAAGAAAAATAACAGCACACTCATTTGCTTTTTCTCTGCTATCTGATTGGCTAGTTCTGTTTGTTGCTCGCATCTAGACTCTAAAATTGATATTTAATCAATACAAATGGTATTAAAGAATTAACTGAATCACAAGCGGACAAAATATGATGTGCTTGAATGAGATTGAAAAAGATAAAAGTTAGAAACAAAATGAAGCATAGAAGGAAATAGAAAAAATATGCAAAACAAGGATCTGTTGTAATTAACCACACTCGAGAATATCCGTAGTATAGAGACACCTGGGATCGAATACTTTTAATGTCAATTATCTTAGTTAAAAGAAATGATTTCCTTCTACTATTGCATAAAACCTAGAAAAACTGATAAATTCTTTCTTTTTCGATGGTTTTTCATTAAAGAATGTTTTTTCTTGATTTGATTTGAATGATACATGTGAAAATTCGCTAAGAACCAACGTAAGTCTGATTTTTTTTGTTAATTCTTATTCTGTAGACTGAGAAAAGGACCAGGATAGTTCATGTCTAACAATGCAGGTTGAGAACGATCAGCGACGACATTTTCATGAGGTACTGCAGTGAATCAAAATATGCTAGATTCTTCCGATGCATCTGTTGCTATAGATGACTCGAAAGGACCTAAAAACTAGTACAAAGAGTTGATGATTCGTGTCTGGGAGTCAGATCAATAACACAGGGTGAAAAGTTGTGGTATCTGGTCGCTTTACTGTTCCGCCCTTTGCTTTCAGCTTAATCTTTGTTAATCTCCATATGAAAAACAAAGGCTTATGTATGTTTGCCATGCTCAGCACACTTTTTGACCACATATCCTGTTTTTTTATGATGATGATAACAGGAAACGTGTTGTACTCTATCATTTCTGGCTGGTTATCAAGCCTAAGTTCGGCTGTTTGCCTTTCATTAGGTAAAAAACTACGAACTGGTTTCGACAGAAAAACTTCGAAAATCGAAGGAATTTCAAAGCGATATTCTAGATTGGATTTGTTTTAAGATTTTTTTCTAAGACTTTTAATCAGTTGCTTGTTCTTAGCAACGCTGAACAATCGGTAATCAGCGGACCAATTCGAAGACATTGCGATCTTCAAGACTGTCTCCAAGTTTCGTTCATTTACGCTGCTTTTCTACTGAAAATAGCCCATATCCTTTTACTTGGGTTAAGAATAAGAAAAATTCTCATTGACATATAATGAAAATGTTCAAGTTAATTTATTACTAAAAAGAATATGAAATAGGATTTTTTATGCAAAAATAATGTAATTTTCATATGACATTTGAAACTTCTTGCCAGTAAAAATATTCTATGGGTTATTGCAAAACTTTATAAGTGTCGTCGAAATTCAGCTACTTAAGAAATAAAACATCAAATATTAGAACCACAATTCATTTGTTTAGAAAACACAAAAAAACACTCAACTTGTTTGTTTCCTATAAATATTGAATATAAACTATTCGTCCAATACGATCTTACTTATTCCAATAATACATCGATTCATTTATTTTTTTACATCATCTTTCTATTAAATCTGCATAGAAGATTTATTCAAGCATTGGTGTGTTATTTACCATTCATTTTGAATCATGAGTCATCGTAGTGGTCGAGAAAAATGAATTAAAAAGTGTTCTTTTATTTTATTTTTTACTAGAAAATGTCTGTCAAGGAAAAAAAAGAACAAAAAGAAATTACAAATCCAAATCTAGGCAGTCATTTAACTATTGAGGATTTATGCCGAATAAAAGATTTTCAAGTTGGAGATTTACCAAAAAATTCGAGTTATGTTCATCCTTTTCGAGCTACATTTATCGATGAACGTAATAATAATCCTGTAAAACGAGTATGGGATGCAATTGATGCACATGTAAGTTATTAATTAATATTTCAATCATTCTTAATTTATGCACATTTTACTAATTTAATGTGATCATAGAATTCAGTTGTTATCATTGTTTACAATCGATCAACTGATGCTCTAGTTTTCGTTCGTCAATTTCGTCCAGCTGTTCATGTTATGATTAGCAAAGCAGCACAAAATGTTTCGTCTACAGCTGATGTCGATTTTACAAAACAAGATCCTAAATCTGCTGTCACTTATGAATTTTGTGCTGGGATTATTGATAAAAAACATTTATCTAATAAAGAACATGCACATGTTGAATTACTGGAAGAATGCGGTTATTCAGTTGATATCAACTCAATTGAATCCGTGGCTAAATATCGATCGGGCGTTGGTACAGCGGGAGCACTTCAAGAACTTTTTTATGTTGAAGTAACACATGAAATGAAAACAAATACGGGTGGTGGAAACTTATCCGAACAAGAATGTAAGATGAAATTAAAAAGATTAATATCATTTTTATTAATTTATTAATTTATAGTTATTGCCATACACGAGATTCCTGTTGATGAACTATATCAATTTTTATTTGATGAAACTAAAGCCAAAGAAGCATCACTGATGTTTGGTGTGATGTGGTTTTTACATAAAAAAGGACGACTACCATAAACTGTGATTAAAAAAAATCGATATTTGTTTTTTTCTAAAATTATTAATAAAAGATTGACAAGCTCAAATCGTTTCATTGATTTAAACAGTTTTAAAGAATTCAACAAAACATTTTAGAAATTCTTGGAAAAGTAACTCATTTTGGAGATTAACGACTTCATTCTTATATAGATTTGTGCTACTCATTGCTGTCTATACAAGTGAAAAATATGCGTTTCGATATGTTATTGCGTTCGGAAGTCATCTAAACAAGGAAATGAAAAGTAAAAAACTCGAGTTCCACTGAGTATATTTAAACTCAAAAGGTTACGTTGTTGTTATTCATTGATCTTCTCTGATTATAAGAACATGTCTAACGGTCAGTGATTTGTGGTGACATTGTTTTATATTTAACAATAAATTTTTTTCTTTTCAGTGAATAATAAGTTTAAAGTATAAGTGCATCATTGATGATTTTATGTGATAATACATGTTCATTCCGTTGAAAGTATACTTGATCGTTGTAATAGTACTTTCGCTATGATAGTCTGTCTGCATTTGGAAAATTACCAGTGCCGTTGGTCGATTTTACAACTTTTATATACGACATCATCAGTGGTAGTGCAACGATTTCATAAAATTTTGTTAATAATATTCATGTCATTTATGATAGAAATGAATATGTTTATTGGTATTTCATTGGTTTAATTTGCACACAAAGACATACACCATAATGGATCATTCAAATTATTCTTGTGAAAATTTTTCGTTACTGGCAAATCTTTTACAAAGCATTCTATATTTGTATAAGGTTTGACGATTGAGTTACTTCTTTAATAGAATCTTCCATATGAAAAAAGAAACTTCTCTTGAAAAAATTCTTTTTAAGCACAATATCAATAATCATGTGCATTTGACTTTTACTTAAATATCATATTTCAGACATCGAATCGTTTGCATTTGCATAATCACTATATTTACAAATGATATTTGACAAAACTGATATGACAAAATGAGGTTATAATCAGTAAAAGTGCGAAACAAGTTCTATCATTAAAAAGTTGAGGGCATCTACTCATGTTGATACATCCGACTTTCTTACATTAGCTATTATAATCGTGCTGCATCGAAACTTAAGACACCATGTCATCTCCTCCAATTTTGCGTGGTCTATAGTGTGAAGCTTCATCGTACCGATAATTGATTAATTATATTTGCTTTAATGGAGCTTCTGAAACTGGATACAATTAGCTTTGTTTGAACGGTGGTGAATGCTGTGTCATACGTAGATAGATAAAATATTCATTGAAAAGACTTTCTGCACAAGACAACTGTGTTGAATGTACTTTACAGTTGCCTTTGTTTATGGTATCACTCAGAATACTATTTCATTAAGCTAAAACTTTACTAAATAAAATATGTTTCATAGTGGGCCAGCTGGTAAAAATCTTATGGGGTGTAATAAGGAAAACATATCAATCTGAAGGTTTTTATGCATGCTAATCATTAATTGTCTGTTTTGTTTATTCAAATGCAACATACATCATCGAATAAAGGGTGTCGAACTACCTGAAACAAAGTGCATTTTATAAGTGACACATTTCGTGGAGCAAAACATCAGATAAAACGCTTGATTAGATCGTGACTAATGACGTTTTAAAAGTTCCACTCACCAAACCTTTATGTTCGGTCCAATGAAATTTATGTCATTCGATTGACACCTTTCAAGCGACATCAAATGTGTTGCAATTCGAAGTTGACTAGATTTATGCAGTGAATCATTTTTGGGAAAACTCGAATCCACTAATAATTTTTGCTACGTTATAGAGAGGATATTTTTTTCAAGGACAAACATTGACTTGATTCTTTCATCAATAATATTATGTCTTTTATTCAACTTTTGACGTCTTTTCTTCTAGTGTTTAAGAAAAGAATCATTAAAAATAAGTATCTAGATGACCAAACAAGCTTGATAACACAATAAGAAATTATGTTTGTGTTTTGATTGTTGTATAAAAACCAAGTAGGATCCATAATGCTTGATTTGATTCATGTCAGTTCATGTGTAAATAAATAGATACATAGTCTGTTCTTTTAAAGTGAACATACACTCTTCATAGCACCTGCGATAAAAACTGTA